TAGTCCAACAATTGTTACACAGTGACCTGTGTGTGTCCCAACTCACACAGAATCCAACACCATCTCCCTGGGCCTTTCATCCCAAGTCTCACAAAATTCAACAAGAAGTTCCTCAAGTACGGTACCAAACCTGCCAAAACCTCACAAAACCTGCTGTTGGAGTATGGCAGGTTTTGGGCAGTTAGGGCTATAAACAATGGCTGTAGCAGTTGCATTTTGAAGAGTGACGTTAGTTTTGTTCAGTTCAATTAATACAACTTGAATTTGTGTCTTTACTCTCCTGCAGACTTTCCCCAGACAGAACCCCACTGACTTGCATTGCCTGCCATCCATCTGATTACTGCATCGCAGTGGGCGATGAGAAAGGCCGGATCTCAGTCTGGCGGAACTTCCATAAGAAGGAGCGTCGAGCGCTGGAACACTGGCACTCGCTGAGAGTTGAGGATTTGTGTTACTCACCTGAAGGTTGGTACACGTAGCTTATTACATGCCCACAAGTAGAGGATCACCTCAGTCTCCATCTTTGCCTGTGACAACTTCTTAGTTTAGCAATTCATGCTGAATAAAGATCATTGTCTTGGTTGATGTCTCGCATATGAAGGACCCTTTCAAAATTGCTTTTGGTGACTCTTAGAGAAGTTTTGCTGGGGAAATGTTAATTTGATTTAGTTTTCTTTCCATTTATGGTTGACAAAATGCACTAAATTATGCATTCCGGCAATTTTCCTATGTGTTACTCAGGACACTTTGTGCAGGAAAATGTTGCATGTGCATTACTTTCAGGTCGTACTGCATTAACGGTCAAACAGTAATCTCTCAGCCATTTTGAAAAAGCCATGTGATGTAAGAGAATACTTGTGGTCTGGTTGAGTGCATGTTCTCACGCTTACCCACGGGCCGTACTCTTGCTGTTCTTGCACTCAGGAGTGTACTCTTGTTATAAACAGGAGTATTGCACTGGTACGCACCCTCTATGTCACTGTCAGTGTTTGACATTTCGTTGGTATGCAACTGTTTTTATATGTGATTGTAGTGTATGGAAACTTGCTGTTAGAATGGCTCATGTAACCTGTTGGAGTCCAGAATAACACATTCGCAGTGGTCATTGTGGAATGCTACTTGCTGTGTCATGATTTACAAATGTACATGTAAACGGATGGGCAGCCAATGCACAATGCGTTAGGTCTGGTGTTGTAATGGTAAATTGGTCAAACATAAAAAGGAAGGTGAAGGATTCCACAGAATATCAGTTTTTAAAGTAATGGCCTTTTCATACTTGAACCAAAAAAAGTAGAAAGTAGATTCTTAATGCCATACAAGTATCTGCACTTTGAATGCGCCAAAATTGAACATGTACATGTATTTCAAGTTTGACAAATGTCATTTGATCTGTTTAGCAGTGTCATATTCACTCCATGTTCTTGACGTTGTCTGCGCGGGAGTTCTGAATTGACATAACCCACCGGCGCAACACCAAATGAACCGAGCAGATTTGTGAATTTTATGTTATTAAAATGCTGCTTTGCAGGATCAGTGTTGTACAGTGTTGGTCATGAATGCACATTGGTGGAATGGCGGCACGAGACCTTGCAGAAGAAGTTTCTTCCTCGCCAAGGTGCACCTATCAACCACATCGCTTATGCTCCAAACAGCCAGCAGAGGGCGCTGTCACTTATGACAAATGGTCAGTGACTCTTTGGAAGTATTCTAAGTCACGGTGGTGGCTTCTTTTTCATCTCAGTCTGTATCTCTGACACCTAAACCACTCCTGGCCTAATACATTCCAATGTTGCAAATACATGTCTTTAGGCTGAGAGCATTCAGTATTGTGGCCTTGGAGGGACATCACCAGTTGTCAATATTGATGTCAGTATTTGCGACCAAATTTACGATCCATTCTTTGGTCATGAATATTGACGCCAATATTTGCGGCTGAAGAGTGGGTCGTGAATTTGGTCGCGAATGTTGACGCCAATATTGACGATTGCCGATGTCCCTCCAGGGCCACCATAATTCAGCCTAATGTAGCCCAAGCAAAACACATTTTTATCAAGCTGAAAATCCAAAGTTGGAAGGGTAAAACTCAAGGAAAGCTTGAGGCAGAGACATAGATGAGATTTTATTATACATGGTCCATGCACTGCATTGAGTAAAAACTTGCTGTGGTTATTTGTTGAGAATAATTACAATACTGTCTTATTTCCCATTGTGATAATGTCACATTATTGTATCTGAAGAAGAGATTCCTACTTCTCATTGCTGCATGCACATCAAGCACTTCCAGCATCTTGGAGCACATGTATGAGGCTAGTGTGATTCACAAAAAACTGACTTGCAGGTTGACTGCTATTCAGAGCTTAGTGTATGTGTAGTTGTGTATTGTGCTGGTATAACTCAACATTTGTGAACGATTTATCTTTCTCGGGGCACATACACTTACACTTTAATACAGGCCTACGATTCTTCAGTAAAGACACACAAATTTGCCATCTTGAGAGTCTTCTTTAGTTTTACACAGGTTCAGTTCCCATTTCAGTTACTTTTCGTTTGACTCAATATTTATTAAAGATTTCTAGACTTTGTGGCACCTGTGGGCGGAAGGTTTTAGGTTAGCACCTTTTAAACAGAGGCATGGGCTATGGAATTGAGAGATTACTGACAGAGAGCAAAATAGCTCTAAACTTAAAAGAGCTGGGCATTTTCAGAGCATCTGACAGCTGGGGGAGGAGGGAGGAATGTAAAGGCATTTGTTATGTTAACCTGTGGAATTTCAATTCAACCCAAAAGAGTATTTGTCTTCATGGTAATTTACAGTGTAAAATTCATTGCCTGATACCTGTCAGCCTGTGTGCGTTAAGCACATCATGGGAAACAGAACATTTTGGCTGCCCTGTTTTGGTAAAATGAGCATTTCCTGACATGCTACATGTATGCTCAAATTTTCATTAAATTGGTGTCAAATTGGTTGGAAAGACGCAAGTGGAAATCTTCTGACGGCTTAGTACAGAAAAGAAACCCGTTGTAATGAGAAGAATGTGTGAGGGGGAGTCATCCCGGCTGTCTTTTTGTGCTGGTGCAGTATTCCAGTGGCCACTGGTTCAACTCCCACCCAAGCAGTTAATCCAGAAATAAAGGAAACAGGTTTTTGCTTTGGCAAATATGAATTCATTCAAATATGAATTCATTCAAATATGAATTCA